TGCCGCAGAAATAATATACCAATTCCCACTGAAGGAAGCAGCCTTTATTGATTATATTTTTAATTATTTTACCTCGTGAGTGTGGGTGTTTTACCCGTATGTATTTCTGTGCAACACCCTCGTGCCTGGCAACCACAGAAGCCGACAAGGAATTCAGTACCCTGGAATTGGAGGACAGATGGTCATAAGCCATCTTACGGGTGCTGGGAATTGAAACCCGGTCCTCTGGAAGAGCAGCCAGGGCTCGTGAGACATCTCACAGCCACCACATCGAATGATTCCGGCCTCTGTGGGCACCGGCATGCATGTACACATACCCACACACAGACACACACACATGCACAAAAGTAAAAATAAAATATATCTTAAAAAAACTAATATGCTCAATGATGAAATTCAAAAGCAACTTATTCAAGTCATAAATAAATAATTAATGCCCAAGCAGATCGGCCTCCCTAGTCAATGAGGAGGACAGAGGCAGAAAGTCAGGCGGGGCTGAGCTACAAGGACAGTGCCCCAGTGCCCAGGCCCTGAAGGCTCCCCTCCTCTGGAAGTACAGGCTGCAGGCTCCCTCTTCCAAAAAAAAAAAAAAAAAAAAAAAAAGCTTTGTGTTCTTTCCAGAGAGGCATTGTTTTATAATTAATTGCTTTCTTTTTGACCCAGCCTCTTACAAAGAGAAAGCTAGTATGTGGGGAGGGATTTTTTTCTCCCTTTTTTAGTTGATTTTTATTGAGCTCTACATTTCTCCCTTCTTTTCCCCTCCTTCAACCCTCTCCCATGGTCCCCATGCTCCCAGCCAATTTACTCAGGAGATCTTGTCTTTTTCTACTTCCCATGTAGATTAGATCCATTTCTACTTCCCATGTAGATTAGATCCATGTAAGTCTCTCTTAGTGTCCTCATTGTTGTCTAGGTTCTCTGGGATTGTGGATTGTAGGCTGGTTTTCTTTATGTTTAAAAACCACCTATGAGTGAGTACACATGATATTTATCTTTCTCGTTCTGGGTTACCTCACTCAAAATTATGTTCTCTGGATCCATCCATTTGCCTGCAAATTTCAAGATGTTGTTATTTTTTTCTGCTGTGTATTGCTCCATTGTGTAAATGTACCACATTTCCCTTATCCATTCTTCGGTCAAGGGGCATTTAGGTTGTTTCCAGGTTCTGGTGCTATGATAAATAATGCTGCTATGAACATAGTTGAGCATGTGTTCTTGTGAGCATGCTTTGGATATATACCCAAAAGTGGTATTGCTGGGTCTTGAGAAAGGTTGTTTCCTAATTTTTCTGAGAAATCACCATACTGAAATCCAAAGCCAGTTCGCACTCCACCAGCAATGGAGGAGAATGGAGGACTGTTCCCTTTACTGGTATGTGGGGGTTTTAACTGGACTGTAAGCTTTAGTGGGTATGTTTAAAAAAAGAATGCTTTTTTTTTTTTTCCGAGACAAGGTTTCTCTGTAGCTTCGGAGCCTATCCCAGAACTCACTCTGTAGACCAGGCTAGCCTCGAACTCACAGAGATCCACTTGCCTCTGCCACGCCCCCTCCCCCACCCCGAGCGCCACCACCGCCCTGCTTAAAAAGAATGCTTTGGAAGTGCAGCAGTGACAGGAGAGGGGTTGGCAGCTCTGCGCTGGCCCTTGCAGAGGGCACAGCGGGGTCCCCAGCACCATGTAGAAGTTACACAAGCAGCTGTACCTCTCATTCCAGAGGGTCTCCCCAACTCCCTTCTCACCTCTGTAGGCGCCAGACACACACGGGACACAGACATACCTGCAGGCAAAACACCCAAACATATAAAAGTAAATAAAATCTTTAAAAAATTGTATGAACTCTTCTTGCTTCACATTTGTATAGACCGTTTTAGGGCTATTAAATTTTTTAATAGCTGGAGATGGTGGTATACTTCTATAATGCCAGTCTGAGGCAGAATTGCCATAAATTCTAAGTCAGCATCACAAACACATACACACACATGCACACACATACATATATATGTGCACACATATGCGCGCGCACACCCTGTTTCAGAAAACAAAAATAGTACTAATTAAGCCCATCTGGTTAGTAGGAAGTTCTGCTTTTATAGGAAACAGTTGGGTGAGGAAATGTGTTATTAATATTCTTTCATTATACCTCTTGGTCAGCAGTCTGAATCACAAGGCCAAATTGCCCAAGGGCAAATGAGTCCTCACTTGTGTGAAAATCATCTAAATACTATTATTTATCATATTAGATTGCAGGCCAGCCCACAGACAGTTGGTTTTGGTGCATCAGAGATGTCCCCAGGTTACTGGGTGAGACCCCCAGTACACCACACTAGGGGAGCAGACTGTCTCCCAGACTTACAAAGTGACAGTGAAGACTTGTCATCTTATTAATTATTTTACTCTTTTCAGATTGTTTTTATGTGACTGGGTAGTAGTGACACACACCTTTAGTCCTAACGTTTGGGAGGCAGAGGCAGGAGGATCTCTGAGTTTGAGGCCAACCTGGTCCACAGAGTGAGTTCCAGGACAGCCTGGGCTACACAAAGAAACCCTATCTATGTGCGAGTATAAGCCATGTGTGTGCAGGTGACAGTGGAGACCAGAGGGATGTCAAAGCCCACGGAGCTGAAGTTATAGGTGGTTGTGAGCCTCCTGATGCGGCTGTTTGGGACTGCAGTACGTCCTAAAGGAAGCCACTGAGCCGTCTCTCCAGCCTGGATTTTTTTTTTTAAGAACGTGTGTGTGTGTGTGTGTGTGTGTGTGTGTGTGTGTGTGTGCGCGCGTGCCATCGCACGACTGTAGAGGTAAGAGGAGGAGACTGTGTGAGTCAGTTTTCTCTTACCATGTGGATTCTGGTGATCCAATTCAGATTGTCAGGCTTGGCAGTGAGTACCTTCACCCACGGAGACATCTAGGCAGCCTATTTTAATCATCAGGGATTTAAAAAAAAAAAAAGGAAAACAAAAACAACGAATGAGAGCAGCAGAGTCCATACCTGTGAATGAGGCATCGCCTGTCTTCTCTACCTCTCCACTTCCAGCCTCTGCTGCATGTTTGAACTTACTCTTGGACTATGGCTCCAGAATATGCCATCTGCTGGTCCCCTGAGCCCGGGATTTTAGGACTAGGATGGGAAGTGAGTTCACTTAGTGTCACCTGTTTGAGACTAAAGCTACCTGGGAGCACCCCATAGGAGGGTGTTGGTGACTCTGCTTCCTTTGTGTGGAGAGCTATGCAGGGGCCCAGTGCAGCCCAGGCGCCGTCCTGATGTGCTTCTCAGGGATGGAGACAGCCTCACTCAACTTGGCATCCTCTAGAGCATCCTGCACACAGCTTGGCACGAGCGTGAAAAAAAAAAAAGACGGAGAACTGTCTGGCTCCCGTGGAGCAAGGTTGCATGGTGGGGGTTTGGTCTGTGGAGCCAGAGTGCAGGCTGTGTGGGTGGGGGAGTGATGACGGGGTGAAACGTGACTGCTCTCCCCTCCCCCATGCTCCATGTGGCTATCTGCCAGACGAGGACAGAAAGGCAGTGTCTGTGGGCCCAGCCACATGGAGAGGCTCCAAAAGCTTCAGCTGTGTGAGTGTTGTGAGAGGGACAATGAGTTCCTTCCTGTCCCTGAAAGTCCTTTCAGGGCTCCCCTCCACCATGGGATGGGTAGGGGCAAGCGCCTGGCTTCACTGGAGAACTGGGCTCAGTTACACCACAGACTTACTCCAGAATATATGGTGCTGGCTTGCTGTAAAGTGATAGCTAGTCTCCTGGGCGGCCGAGGCTCCAGCCCTCCCCAAACACCAAGTTTGGTGGCTTTGGCAGCTCCAAGCATTGTTCAGCTCATGGGTCCCTCCCTGCCTTCTTCCTCTTAAAAACAATTTTGTAGACATCTGTTTGTTTGTGTGTGCATGCTTGCTCACGTAGAGGTCAGAGGACAGCTTGTAGGAGTTTGCTCTTCCTTCTGCCACGTGGGCTCCAGAGACTGACTCAGGTCACCAGAGCCATCTCACCTGGCCATGCATGCATGTCTTCCTCTTTATAATGTGTGGTCCATGGGTACTGTATTTCACATATTTTTATGTTAAAATTAATTAAATTTGTTTATTTATTGTCTGTAAAGAGACACCATGATCAAGTCTTTTTTTGGTTTTTCGAGACAGAGTTGCACTGTGTCACATACATGCACACACCCCAGCTGTCCTGAAACTCACTCTGTAGGCCAGGCTGGCCTCTAACTCACAGAGCTCCACCTGGCTCTGCCTCCCAAGTACTGGGTTTAAAGGCGTGTGCCACCGCTTGGCTGTGACCAGCCCTTATAAAGGAAAACATTTATTTGGGACCTTGCTTACAATTTCAGAAGCTTAGTTCACAATCATCGTGGCAGGGCGTGTGGTGACATGAACCACACTAGAACAGGAGCTGAGAATTTACATCCCAGTCCCCAGGCACAGCCAGAGAGAGAGAGAGAGAGAGAGAGAGAGAGAGAGAGAGAGAGAGAGACACTGAGCCTGGCTTGGGCTTTGAAACCTTAAAGTCCACCGCAGCAACTCACCCTCTGACAAGGAGACACCTCCTAATCCTTCTGAACAGTCCACCAGCTGGGGAGTAAACGTGCAGCTATCTGAGTCAATGGGAGTCGTTCTCATTCAAACCACCACATGTATTTATTTATGGCTCTGGCCTTTCCCTCCTGGTACCTAACATCTATAAGCATGTCTTGGAACGCAGCCCTTTAATTTCTTTGGGGAAGTCCTAAGCCAGGACATTGAATATCCACACTGTTGCCTGGCAGGTTATTAGCCTCGAAGAAAGGGTAGAAACGTTGAAAGCCTGAGGGGGATCATATAACATCCTCCTCCTGGGACAGGGTTTCTGCACGGTATCCTCTTGCCACCTCCAATTCTGGGCAGAATCTCCTAGAGATATAAACACTGTGGAGCAGGGAGGTAATACCTGCTTCCTTCTGAGGGAAGTGGCCCATGTGACTCGCTGAGTGTGTGTCCCTGTTCCTCTAGGCCACCTGGAGCCTCTCTCGATGCTGACATGGTGACAGTGTGCAGGCAGGCCACAGGCAGCCACAGCTGGACTGGAACTCTGAGCTACAGATTGGCCCACAAGTAAGAGCCTCCCTTTGCATGTACCCTGAAGGTGTGGAGGATGAGCAAGCTCGGTCTCCTTCCTTCCTCCCTAAGAATGTTGGAACCAAATAGTTTTTCACCCCCTTCCTTGACTAAGGGGTATCCCTCTCCTGAGCTTCTCCTTGAACTGCCTTCATTTGAGACGGGTGAGCGGAAGTGGTTGAGAGGGTCTGGGTATTGCTGAGTGGGTGTTGTGACTCTCCCAGTGCCTGAGGGAGCTTTGCCTTCCAAGCCAGGGCGTATTTTTCTAGCTAATAGACTCACAGGTTTCTCCCTCATCTCTGAACCTGTAGCTTTGCAGCCGTAGCTGTCCACGTAGTCCACCCTTCCCATCCTCTGTAAGCAGGGAGCCTTTCCCTGATACTGCTCATGTTGTTATCGCTAAACTCATCACAGCTCTGTGGCCCAGATGCTAGAATCCTAGAAACAGGAACTCCAGATACCCATGGGTAACAGAGTCTGTGGAGAAGACACTGTCTGCAGTGTCTCCATCCTTTAGCCCTCTTGCTTGACCTCAATAAATACAGCATGTTTTTCTGACAAGCCAGTCTCTCTTCTTCAGGTGCTGTTCAGTCATTCCAGGTGTTTGGGATCTTAAAGGAATACTGCAGTGGTCACAGTCGCCACCAGTTGAATACCTTGGGCATAATATATTTATTAATCTACTAACTTATCAAACATTATGTATTGAAAACTTACCTTATACCAGGAACAAACAAAACCAGTTTGGCTTCTATACTCAAAAAGCTCCAGTCTAAAGAAGGGAGATAGTATTGCTACCTGTAGAAGAAAAATAAAACAGGACTATGGATATAGCTCGGTGGTAGAGCCCACCCCACATTCTCAGATCCCTGGGTTCAGTCTCTACAGTGAGAAATAGAAACATAGTAAGGACTCAAACCCAAGCCCTTGTGCCTCCAGATCGCATGTGTTTATTTATTACCAGTGTTGTCTAGTGCCGTACATGACTGAGTGGTTTGTGGCGATCTGTACTGTCTGCAGCTCGCACTAATCTGGATGGTCATGTTTCACGCGTCTGTCCTCTGCTTCCATCTTGCCATGAGAAAAGAAGCTGTAAGTTCTGCCTTTTCAGTTCTTAGGAAAACAGCAATGGACTGTGATCCTGCCTAGAAATGAGGTTCATGCTACTGTCTTGAGGACAATTAGAAGAATTATTTTTTTCAGGGATGGAGAGGTGACTTAGAGGTTAAGAGTTCTTAAAACTCTTACAGAAGACCCAGATTCAGCTCCCAACACCCACACAGCAGCTCACAACCATCTGTAATTCCAGTTCTGAGGGGTGCAGCGCCCTCTTCTGGCCCCCATGTACACCAGACATACATGTGACACACATACATATATGCAGGCAAAACACACATAAAGTAAAAATCAAATAAATACTATTTTCTTTTGTACTCTTTTTTAAAAAATTTAATTATATATTATTTATACAGTGTTCTGTCTGCATGCCAGAAGAGGGAACCAAATCAAATTACAGATGGTTGTGAGCCACCATATGGTTGTTGGGAACTGAACTCGGACCTCTGGAAGAGTAGCCAGTGCCCTTAACCTTTGAGCCATCTCCCCAGTCCCTTCCTTTGTACTCTTACGGATCCTAATTGTTGTTTTCTAAAAGACCTTCTGCTTTGATAGCCATGGAAAGTGTGTTTGCGTTCTCACAAGCTTAAACTTTATACTGTTCAACCAAGATCAGCAGCTTAATTTGTGAGCCGATGACGTCACTAAGGGAGAGGTCTTATATAAACAACTCTTGGTCTCTGGGATGGAAAGTTATCGTCAGAGGACGAATGCAGCTGTTAGCTGTTCATCCCTCACTGTGAACTTTAGCTGGAGTTTCTCAGTCACTATACAGTCAGATTCATATAAACTCAGGAAATGTGCCCCGTTAGCTTCGTGTCTGTTTACTGAGCCCGCCCATCTAATCGCCATGCCTAACTGTAGTCTCTGCTGTGCAAGAATGGTTTGTATTTTGAAACACATACGTTCTTATTCCCAGTAAGTGTGCTTCACATGTGTCCTTCCTAAAGGGTTTGGAGCATCCTTATGGTGCTAAACCTCCTATTTAGAGGCGCATCGTTCCATACGGCTCTCTAGACAGAGCTGTCTGCAGTCATAGAGAACCTCGTCTGTCCACTGAGGAACCATCTCCCACATGGGGCTTGCGAGTGCTTAGCTGGCAGCTGGTGCATCTAAAGGAGAGAAGCTTTCATTCCATCGGATTCAGGTTCAGATAACCCCATTGGCCATTGGAGACCGTATTTGACAGTACATGTATAGGCCATGTATAAAAATCTACTTCTCCATGGTGATTCACACATTTACTTAGGCAACAGATACTTATTGCCTCCTGCTCTGCCAGGGCTATTCTAGAAGCGAGGGAAACAGCTGTAGACAAAACAAGCCCTCTCTCACGGAGAGCCATTTCAGTGAGATTTGTGCTCCAGAGAGTGTCCTGAGATATCATGGCTTCACACCCCAGCTCAGGGTAGTTGGTGAAAATTGAAGGATTTGGCAGGGCAGTGGTGGCACTCTTGGGTGCATCTCTGAGATCGAGGCCAGCCTGGTCTACAGCGTGGGAAGTAGCTGAGTTAGTAAGGAACCTACTGTGTGAGCATACAATTCTGAGACCCTGTGAAGAGCTGCCTGTGGCAGTTTATGACACCAGCCTTGGGGGAGAAAGACACAGGTGGTTCTCAAGGGCTCATTGACCAGCCAGTTCAGTTCCCAGTGCCCTCATGGTTGCCCGCGACCATCTCTAACTCCAGATCCAGGGAATCTGAAGCCCTCTTCTGACCTCCATGGACACCAGGCACACACGGTTAACAGACATACATGCAGGCAAACACCCATACACATAAAAAGGAAAACAGCAGCAACAGCGAGAACCGATAGCTTCAGTGCTGTGGTTGGCAGTTAGTAAGTACTACTTACACCCGAGTTCTGGTTGCTGTCCAGGACTGGCTGAGAACAGTAACATAAGGACCACTCACCTTCTGTTTGTCTCTCTGGTACAGGGTCAAGGCAGAGGGTTCAAAGGCTGGGGAAGTTCTTGGAAGGCAGCCACTTGGGAGATCTGTTCCTTCTCGAGAGTCTAATCCAGCACTGCCCTTGGGAAGGAGCCCCCCAAGGAACCCCCACAACCTCATGCTGGAGGCAAGAGTGGACATGCTCGGCTCCAGTATGATCATCAATGGCCCGGCTGCAGACCTCGGTGCTAAAGAGGCCAGCAGGCCCTCGAAGAAGCAGCCTGGCAGCGTCCAGAACCCTGGGCCATCCACCCGAGCCCGAGCCCAGCCCCTCAGCATAAAGGACAAGATATCCAAGTGGGAAGGCAAGAAGGAGCCACCCACTCCTGAGCCTGCCAGGCCAACAGAGAGCCAAGAGAACTACTTGCCACCCTGCGGGGTAGAGCGGAGAGGCAGCGAGGTCACCAGAACAAAGAATGGGTTGAGGCTTGAAGCAGAGAGCTTGGAAAATGACAGCAGAAGGACAGCAAGGACCGCGTGTCAGGACACAGACCGGTGGCCAGGCCTGAGGCAGAGTGACGGGCAGCCGGAGCCCAGCCAGCGCCGAGGGGTCGAGCTGAAGCCCAGTGACTTGCGTTTTCAGAGTGACCACCTCTCCGTGCTCAAACAGGTCAGGAGACTGGAGAAGGCCTTGAAGGATGGCTCTGCTGGCTTGGACCCCCAGTTGCCGGGGACTTGTTATTCCCCACACTGTCTGCCTGACAAAGCAGAAGAGGACCAACGCATTCCCGAGAGTCCTGGAAGTGGGGGTGCTTTCGCAGCTGGCCGCAGGGCCCACCACTTGGAGGACAAGGAGCCAGGCCCTGAGGCTTCAGAGGAGTGTAAAGGCCAGGAGAGTGTATACCCGGGCTCCAGGCAGTGTCCCCCGAAGCCTTTCATCAACCCCCTTCCCAAGCCCCGCAGAACGTTCAAACATGCAGGAGAAGGGGACAAGGACAGCAGTCCAGGGAGCTCAGGCATTGGCTTCAGGAAAGAGAAGAGAAACCTGCCTCCCCTGCCCTCTTTACCTCCCCCTCCCCCACCGCTGCCCTCCTCCCCGCCTCCTACTTCTGTGAATAGAAGACTGTGGACTGGGAGGCAGAGACCCAGTGCTGACCACAGGTAGGTACTCACCAGAGGACTCTGCTGTTGCCTGTGTCCCTTTGCCACTGTCCTGCCTCAGCCAGATGACTTGTCTCATTCACCTGGGGCTCAGAGTCAGTCAAGTATTCATGGGGTGAGGCAGCTTGTTGATCAGCCTGGAAATGTGGTAACTGATGTGTTTAGCTCTTGTTCTCACAAAAGGAAGTTTGCGGGCTGGAGAGATGGCTCAATGGTTAAGAGCCCACTGACTGCTCTTCCAGAGGTCCTGAGGTCAATCCCAGCAACCACATGGTGGCTCACAATTATCTGTAATGAGATCTGGTGCCCTCTTCTGGTGGGGTGTGCAGGCATACATGTAGGCAGACTGTTGATAGATATCTAGATAGATGATAGATAGATAGATAGATAGATAGATAGATAGATAGATAGATAGATAAAAAGAATGTTTGCTTCTAAATATTTTCCTCTGCAGGCAGACACAGTGGTACAGGCCTAAAATCCCAGCTCTTGGGAGTTTGAGGCAGGAGGATCGTAAGTTCAAAGCCAGCCTGTGCAACATAGCAAGTTCTAGGCTGGCGTAAGCAACTTAGTGAGGTCCTTTCTCAAAACAACAAAATTACTTTTCGGGTGTGATAAGAACTTGTAATTGTCACAAAAAGTTAAGTGAAAACATTTGTGAAGCTATCCGCTTCCTTGTTTACCTTTTTTCTTTCAGAGTGTGTGTGTGTGTGTGTGTGTGTGTGTGTGTGTGTGTGTGTGTGTGTGTGGTCAGAATGGGTGTGGAGGCCAGAACAGACATTCGGTGTCTTTGTCTTCCTCAATTGTTCTCCACTTTATTTCTTGAGACAGAATCTTTGTCTTTCATTGACCCAGCTTGGCCTAGAGACCCCTTCTGTTCCTCCAAAGTTTTGGGACTATAAGTGAACTACAATGTCCACTTGGCTTTTCTTTGGGTTTTAGGGATTCATATTCTCTCTCTCTCTCTCTCTCTCTCTCTCTCTCTCTCTCTCTCTCTCTCTCTCTCTCTCTCTCTCTCTCTCAGACAGTGTCTGTGTATGTAGTCCTGGAATTCTCAATGTAGATCAGTCTGGTCTTAAACTCACAGATACCCCCGCCTCCCGAATGCTGGGATTAAGGGTGTGCACTATCATTCCCAGCTGTATTTGTTGTTTGCTGTTGTTGAGACAAGGTCTTTGTAGGGGCCCCTGCAAGCTCTACAGGTGGCAGAGAAATGAATCTCAAAGCTGAGAAAGAAATTCAGTTCAGCACAAAGTAGCCGGTACAGATTCAAACTTCTGGAGTCTGACCCCAAGCAGTTTATTTTAAACATATGTAAGTAGAGTATAATTTTGGAAAAAAGTTTCCTGGTAACAGTTATCTCAATCCCGAGAGCACTATAAAGCTTAAAGCTTAAAACTCTCCTGCAAAGTTCAGGTTGCCTCTACATTGAATATGGGTTCTATGGCTTAAGGGCCCAGGATCTAGTGTGGTCTCTGACCCACATAGCACAGAGGTCAGCAGGCTATGAAGTGCGTGAGACACCTTTACTTTGACTGGGTTGGTTCCATTGACTGAGAAACAAAGCCAAAGATAAAGGGAGGGAGAGTCTGGGCTAAACATTCTGGGGGGTTTGGGTGAGGCCTGGCCCTACAACTAGCAAAGGTCACCTGGTTATTAAGAGCATCGCTCCCAGCTTCTGGGTGGAAAACATGTGTACACATCCTTTCTGTTGAGGAGACAAGCCATGTGCTTGTCTGTGTGCACCACTTCGACCTCTCTACAGGTCTTACTTTGTAGACCAAGCTGCCACAGAACTCACGCTGTAGCTCAGGCAGGCCTCGAACTTGTGGTCATCCTGCTGTAGTCTCCCAAGTGCTGAGAGTACAGGTGTGAGTCACCGTGTCTGGCTTATTTTATTCCCTTACCTGCCCCTTAATTTTGCTTGACATTTTCCACTTGGGCTTTGGCCACTCATGCTCAGCCTACTGTTGCCCAGGGCCACCAGCAGCCTCAGCCTCAGTAACTCCAATGGCCAATATTCTGTCATTTTCTTCGATGCCGTCTCTTGGTATTGAGGGCAGCTATTTTCTTATCCTATCTTGAAACACTGCCTTCATTTGGCTTCCGGGTCAGGCTCTTCCAGGTGAGGAGACCTCCCCCCGACTGCTCTCCCGTCTTTCCTTTGCTCCTTGTACCTGTTAGAACAGTACCTATGCCTGCCAGGCTCTGACCGCGGGCTCTGTCCTCTCCCTACACTTCTTCCCTGATGGGCTCATCCCATCCTGTGCGTGTCACTAGCAAGTGTATTTGAGAGCTCCTCTCTGTCTCAGAAGTGTGCGTGGCTCTCCACTTGGTTGTCACTCTCGTAGTAAACGGCTTGTTAAATGACGTCATCCTTTATTTAGTCACTTAACCCAAGAGCTAGTCACTCTCTTGGGTTTTCTTTTTCACGTGCTCCTGACTAGCCCAGGGCTAACCCAGCAATAAGTCCTTCGGTCTTACCTTTAAAACTTGGTCTCAAATCTGATTATATTACTTTGGACCCATTGCCCACCTCCCAGAATTCCTCCGAGAGGCAGGCAGTTTCCAGAAGTGAACTTGTGGCCTGCATTCTCTCAGTGTTGTTTGTCAGCTAGGGTGCTTTTGGTGCAGATAACCTGATTTTTTTTCTGTTCTCTTCAAGAGGAAAACAGTTTGCATATTCTAAAGTGTGTGTGTGTGTGTGTGTGTGTGTGTGTGTGTGTGTT